ACTTATCTGCTAAACAGAGGACTGTGTCTTGCTATTACTCATGCTACAGGGATCTCTACAACTCTTACTGAAATGTGGCTCTTGTGTGGTGCGCAACATTTACACCTAAATGGTTATTCAAACAGGGAATGTGTGTGTACTTGAAGTCTGCATACATTATAAAGATCTCATACTGAGAGCACGTGGATGTGTGTTTGTCACATACATACCTTGTGTATGTAAGGCCAGATATGTATATATTATATAGTGTAACTGTATATATATGATACACTTTTTATTTACATTTGGTTACAATTTAAACACTTGTCGTAAATATTTCAGACACTGGAATAACTCAGGTCTATTCCCCTGTTGCCACAGTGTGCTCTGTGCTGGCCAGTGAGAGATTAAAATTTATTTCCATTGTTTAACGGAAAATAATGAAGTGCATCTGAGTGGGTTCAGCTATGTCATGCGGGAAATGTTCACTTTGGATAGGAGTCTCACTCCACCCAAATGTGCAATGATGAAATCTGTTGGCATGCAAAAGCAACACATTTTGTGACAAGAATGCTTGAGAAGTATAAGAGTACAATATGACAAGAGCCTTTTGGAATGAATTAAACTTGTGTCAAGAAAGAAAGTATTCTTTAAGCTAGCATAATCCTGTAGGAGGGCAAGGTTTCTCCCGCTACATGCTGAATATAGTTTTATCAACAATTATAGCTTGATGTTCTCTTACCTAGACTGTGACAGCTGTATCTGTGAAAATTCATGAACACATGCAGGGTCAGATTCTCAATAGCTGTGAATCGCTATAGCTGTGTGGCAGCTGAATGGAGTTAAGCTGATTTACCTCAACTAATGGTTGAAACCTGAAAGTTTCGATGAGATGCATCTTCTTTCAGTAGTTAAAACACAGTTTGTTTGTTTTTTCCTAAAAATTTGTGGTTTAAAGGCATATATATTTCTGGATTTATAGGAATTACAGCTTTGGATATTGTATTGTAAAGGGAAAACTAAGTGGAATTAATTAACATATGCAGTTACTTCCTCTAAGAATTCCTATGCTATTGGAGGCCAGCAACATAAGTCATGGAGGTGAAGGTTTCAAAACTGCTGCTTGATCTGGGGTCCTCAGGCTCAGACGATTTTCAAGAGGCACTAAGCACGCATATGTCAAAACCCAGACATGATATGAGGTGCTGTTTTCACGTAGTAGGAGTTTCCATTCTGCTCAGTCAATGGAGAGCTGTATTTTCGAAGCAGAGGCAGATACATTTGCATGTGTGCGCAGTACAGCAGATGGCTCGGAAGCTGCACGGATGTATCAGAGGGCAAATTGCTGTGGTGCTCTGCAGCCTGCCCTCCTGGTTGGTATATATAGACCTCTTTGCCATCAGCTGTGCTACGGTGCATCGTAGGAAACTAAATTTAGGGCCATCTGCAGTAGCTGGTTTATTATACAGTAAGGACTTTATACAGCCCTTAGGATGCTATGTTAAATGGAATTAATGCATAGAATGAAGGCCGAAAATACTTTCTCCCCTTCTTGTTTAGGGAGCAAACCCTGTAGGACATGATGCCATTTTACAACCAGAACAGGATTTTAACTAAACTGAATAATTAACAAGTTGAATTTTGAAGTAAATTGTTTACCTGCCTCCTTTTTCTTCCCTTTTGAAATATCTAGGTTGTGCTATCAACAACAGTGAACGTTGATGGGCATGTGCTGGCAGTGTCTGACAACATGTTTGTTCACAACAACTCCAAGCATGGACGGAGAGCAAGGAGACTTGATCCCTCAGAAGGTAGGATAATATTGGTGTGAAGAACACTATGCCAATGAATGCAAAAGCATTTTACCCATTCTTCGATTTCTATCTGTTTTCAGGAGGGAAGGAGAGCTAAAGGGGAACTACAGAACCTCAGGGGCTTTAGAGAAGGAAGAGGCAGGAAGACAATGTCTACTTACATGCAAAATATGATCCTCTTTACATCTAAGAGACTGGCTCCCCCTCCCCCCAGTTTATTAATTACTTTGTACTGCAAAGATGAAAAACCCAGAAACACTAAGTATTATCTAAATTTCAGACCTCTCGTTCAGCTGGGATAGATTTGATTTCAGGCAAATTAGGCAACATGACATCTTAGTTAAACAGAACTGTTATAGCACAAGATGTGTATGAAAAAGTGTCACCAGTTCCCTTAAACAAACTGTGCGCAAAGCATAACAATGCGCAGAAGAAAACTGACACTAATTGATTTGAGTTTGTTTGGCTAAGCGAGACTCATGGTCGACTACAGGATGGGTTTTGGACTATATTAGAGCAATTACAATTACTTGTATCTGTTAAGCTTCAAAGTGGTTGGCCCCTCCTCTCCTTCTTCCCATACATTCATTACCATCACATTCCACCGCTCTCACACAGACAATACTCAAAATTACTAGAAAATGCTATCTGTGTCTGCTTTTCCCTCCCCTGCAGCTAGTGAAAGGGAGAAGAGCTAGTGATGTCAGTAGAAAAGACAAGCAAGGATTTTATTTCATTATAATGTTTTGCTGCCCCACTTCTTAACTGTGCCCTATATCAACCTAAAAGGAGAATTAATGAACTGGAAGAAAATGATTGAATCAGTAAAGAATTCAGAGTGGTGTTAATTCTCCCCCAGCGGGCAGTGAAATGGTAGAAGGAAAATCCCAGGATTCCTAGCCTAGGAAGCCATCCAGTTTTTCCTTGACTGATTGGATGTGATTGACTGGCTGTTCAAAGGAGTCTCATGTTTTTGGAGCGCTGCCAAAGTTCCCCTCCACCTCTGACCCTGTCAACATTGGGAATGGAGTGATGGATTGACTTTGGTTATGGCCTGGAAACCATATTGGGTTCCTGATGGGATGTATAGTCCAGAGGCCTTGAACATATGGAAGAGAGAAGAAAAAAAAAATCTACTTTATAAAATCAAGAAAATTATTAGAAATTGTCTCCTGATAGGAATTGGAGGAAACATTTGATATTCACATATCTTTTTTACCCATCGATAAAAGTAATAAATCTTAATCTACCTCTCTTTCCACAGCGTTTAGCTTTTGTGTGATCATATGCTAATGAGTGGGGGATTTTTTTAAACAGCCTCTGCACAATCATTTAAGCGTTTCATTTTTACACCCACTACAGTTGGCCTATTAGGCTTTAATGACACGATGTTAAGTGCCAGTAATGAATAGGCAAGTAATTAACACTAGCAAGGCAGAAAACATGTTTTTATTTATTTATTTATTTATCTGTTGGGTTTCGTGGAATGGTAAAGCAGCCTTCATGGGTGAATGGCTGGAGGGGAGTTGTCCTAGGCCTTTGTCAGCACTAGGGAATTCACGCCAGCCGTGAAGCCGCAGCACTGCAGAAGCTCCCAGGAGCGGACAGGTGAAGCTGCTCTAAGCTACAGTTTGCATCAATACGACTTAGGGCTGGTTAATGTGCACGGAAGTTGCTTGCACCTATCTGCTGCAAGGGTTTGCACCCACTATTACAAACAGTCCTAAAACTGTGGGGAAAACCCCATAACCTGATGCTCTGACGTCCATTTTGTTTTGTTTAGCCACACCGTGCATCAAAGCAATCAGCCCAAGTGAAGGTTGGACTACAGGGGGAGCAATGGTGATCATCATTGGAGACAACTTCTTTGATGGGCTGCAAGTTGTGTTTGGAACCATGCTTGTATGGAGTGAGGTAGGTAGAGGTGGCTCCCTATTGCTAAACTGAAGAAACACTCCTTTTCTGAGCAAAGTGGAGAGGGAACAATGTTAATTCTCATTCCAATAATGGTACAAAAATGGTGGCGTGCAGGGCGGGCCACATAAACCTGTGTGATGGAGATTCATAGCCTGTGGAACTCCTCACTATGTGATATTGTTGAGGCCAACTGCTTCGTAATATCCAGACTAGAACTGAACAATTCTAGGTGTCTGGAGACAGGCAGAGGTAAAGAAATAAAGGATTACAGTTTAGGAAGGAGAAAGAATTCCCCCTGGGTCCAGAAATAAGCCAACAATGAACCAATGGGTATAAGCCCCACAGTTTTCATGATGACAATGAGTTTTATAATCTCCACAGTTTTCATGATGACAATTTATCCTAAAATGTGTTTTCCTGTCCTGGAGGCAAGAACCAAGAGCAGATGTATCACTTGCCTGGTCTATAGTGTCTCCTGTATAGGAATAAGCAATGCATTTATACATAAAGCATGTTTGGAGGGTGAAAAGTAAAACCAGGGGGAATAACACAGACATGTCATAATTGTTCCTCTCCTTTTGTTATTTCCCAGCTGATCACGCCTCATGCCATCCGAGTTCAGACACCTCCACGTCACATTCCCGGAGTGGTTGAAGTGACATTATCGTACAAATCCAAACAGTTTTGCAAAGGCGCGCCAGGCAGGTTTATTTACACAGGTAGGTGGTTGTGATTTGCGCTAGAGGAGCTCGAGCTCAGGGCCTCTTTGTTTTGGTAATCAGTATTGACAACTCTCTGCTTTCCTTCTTCTTTTATTTATTTAGCCTCGTGCTGTTTGAAGGCCACGCTGCTAGTTGTGGCATTTGAACATGTAAGGAGATGGCTTCATAGTTGTTAAGGTGTTAAGGCACTGTTGCTACATATGTTAATGCGTTTTCTAGGTTAGAGCTCATGCTGTTATGATATGGGTCTGCCTATGGATATACGGAGTGTACAGGAACATGATACCATTGTTCTACATACTGGAAGATGTTTTATTTATAACACTATTTATTTTAGATTTCCCTGTCGCTGGGGGTAACCTTTCGTTTTCAAGATAATCCCAGAGGACAAGGAGAGCATCTTGTATTGAGAGAAGCCAATGAGCTGAGTGGCAAATAGATCTGTTGGGGTTTTTTTATTCTTGAATGGATTATCAACTTATTTACTGCCCTATATTTACCTCTGCTAGCAGGAGAACATTATCTACAGATCCAAAAGAAAAAAATCCGATGGGACCAGATGACCATCTCATTGAACTGTCAGTGCCAGTAGTAACAATGATGGCATACAGTGTATACACTAAAGTTTCTGTAGCCTATTAAGTATGGCTGGAGAATAGTGGTGCACTGAGTTCTAAAGGGTGGATTTATATTTAAGTTGGATGACTTGCTCCCACCAAATCATATTCAGATTTCTCAGAATGGAAGGTTTTATTTAATTTTTTAAGCTTCTTACTACCAACAATTCTCATTAAATAATCTTTGTATATTATATTTGTTACATTAAAATCATAATTTAAGTCAAAAATAATAATGAAGGTCCAAGAAATTTTTTAATAAAAATTGGTTAGAATTTTGCCAAAAGTGGAAAAATTTGATTGAAAATCTGACACTTTAGGATTTTAGAAAGAAGCAATGATTCGTGAAGATCCTGTTACTGTCTTATGCCATTTTATATACCTTTTCTTAGTACACATGCTAAATTAGTGTTTAGTTATTTGTGTGGAAAGTTATTTATTCATACAACTGCCACACCTAGAAATCTGCAGCAAGAATTAAGTCTTCAATTATACTAGGAACTCTAATGAAATATAAGCTGAACTGACAAAGGATTATTTTTGTTATGATAGAGATCTGATCCACAGTTAATTGGAGGTACTCAAATGATAGCCATTGACTGAAACTGGCTTTGAATCAAGCTCAAAGAGATTAGGACTTTCTTCTGATTTTGCACCAAAATAACCCCAGTGAAGTGCAAAGTCATTCTGGAATTGTTCCTGGGCTTGTGGGATCACAATCTGGCCAAAAGCTTTTGAAATACATTTTCTTCTAAGGCAGTGCATTGATTGACTCATCTCTGGGAAAAGATGAATCTGATGTCTGAGCAGGTTAAACCTATCTCGCTGAGAGATAACTGGCAAAGCCGTCAAACAGGGTAAAGTTTAACATCTGCATGCGAATGCAGTCATATTTCTAAAGAGATGGGACAGGTGAACTTGCTGGAGTCTGGCGCTCCGTAAGCAAAGGAGCAGTGTCATTGATTCATCTGCAGCACGGGGCTTGTAGGGACTGCATGAGGCCCAATGCATTTACCTGCAGAGAAGGAGAGGCTGCTAGTTCTCTAGGTATTATTGCAGAATTAAATGTAAAGTTCTTCTTTGATATTTTCTGCTTCTGGAGGCCTTGCTCTCATGGTGTCTTCAACACAAGCCACCACCCATGTGCTGTTGGTACCTGTGCTGAAAGAGGTTTAGGAATGGAGTGATAGAAATGTGTAACAGAAATGTGCATTCCTCTGTGAAGAAAAGTCTTCTTATTATTGTAAAGCTGTTTCAAGATTTACTTGTACCATCTAGGGGGAAACTTGAATCAGACTGCAGTGCGGTTCTTTGACATGTTAATTAGAGTGCTTCCACCAAAAAAGGGCATGAAGATGTATGTAGGAGCCAGCAGAAGAGAAGAAAGTTAAATATACTATCCCTGTTTTACTGCTGTTATTGGCATAGGGATATCTGTTAGCATTCTCTGAGGAGTGAGTGGGTGCTTACTGCCATATGTTACAAAACAGCATTTCACAGAAGATGCCGAGCTGTTAGAGCGAGGGTAGAACAGACAACTTTTCAATCTGTCTATTCAAGAACCTGCAGTTCTCCCACCATGGCAGGCAAAATGATAAACACAGCTATTAGGTAGAGGCTCACCTGTGTAATCAATTCCCCCAGGTTGTTGCTGCTAATAGCAGTAAAAACAACTTCTAAGCTATGAAAATAACATGGTGGCATTTTTTTTTCTTCCGTGGCTGTGCGATCAGAAAACTGGAGCGATCCTGCTGTGAACGAGTGCACTGATTTTGAACCTAGGCAAGCCGTATTCAGGCAGTCAAGGTCCTTCTGCCTGAAGTCTTCTTCAGACCTTCCACAACAGTTTTTGAACCTCTTGACCAATTTCTATCAGATTTTATCAGAAAGGTAGGAGCATCAAAGGTGCGCAGTTCCAGCAGATATTTTGTGAAAAATGGAAAGAGAGATCTGAATTAATCCTCCACTGAAAGAAAGGGTGAAGAGCTCAACCATGTTATCAGCCAGCAGAGAAGCTACCAGAAAACAGCCTCAGGAAACCCGGCTGTTTAAATGGTGCTGCCCACAGGATGCACGTGGGTGTCCATGGCACTCTCTAAAATTTACTCAGTAGCACCAGAGAAGTGCAGCTATTTGTTGGGCAGAGTGTAGCAGACAAATATCATATAACATGCTGAAGAGGAAAGTTCAATAGATTTTATAATTATTGTCAAGGTAGTCCTGTGCATCATAACAAAAACTTGTTTTCTTTGTGATAATTGAAGTTTATTATTTTCTTGATAATTTTAGTACTTTATATTGCAACATATTCCTCTGAGCTGTCACAAAGGTTATCGATAACGCGGAGAATGCAGTAGGCTTGGAGACACAAATAAGACCACTTGCCTCTGGAATTGTAGTTGCCTCTATAAATGAGAATTTCTCCTCTAAATGCCTCCCCTGTACGTTCAGCCTGCACTTGGCAAAATCCTAAGAAATGCAGAGACATTAACATCAAGCCCAGGAGACTGAAAAGGGTGAAACCCTGCAAACTAAAAGCATGGGAAGGTGTAGTTCTGTCAGAACTAATAACAGCAGCAACAACTAGCAGCCTCGGTACTATCAGGGTCATCTTGTATAAAGTCCTTCATAATTATTAAGTGCTGAAATATAACCTCAGATGCAAAGCACAAAGGGTCAAGTCATATGAAAAATACTGAGTAGCTGGGTATAGGTACTTCACAGGTATGACAAGAATAATTATTCATATAAAACCAGACCTCGGAGGGTTCATCAGGGCCTCACTGCATCAGACATTGGCAACCGGTTACAGAAGGACACGTGCTTCCATTTTGTACGTGAGACATTGCCACAGAAGGACGAAGAAGGATTAACCGCTTGCCTGGGGTTGTGCAGGAAAGCTGAAGACAGACAGGGAGATAGATCTCTCAGGTTCTGGTCATATCCTTTAATCACCAGAACACCAATACTCTTCTAAAACATGGAAACAGAAAAACAACGATCTTCGTTAGTATTATGTGTATCTGCCTATGCCCTCAATATTTAATATACAATCAAATATTAATGTCTGACCTGATTATACTTGAGCTTTTTCCTTTTTTTTTTTAAAGTCACAATAAAACAGGTTGTTTGAAGAAGAAAATGATAAACTGTTAAAAAGATGAATATAAAAATTAGATATAAATTTCAAGGGTAAATCTAAATGCCACTGTGGAGCTGTTATGGGAGCTCATCTGCGTCCTGTAATGTGTATTTATAATAGGCTCCTTGCGCAGTGTGCTGTGCTAGCATTGCTGCAGTTATGGTTCTGTCAGCGTTTCCACTCCTAAGTGCTATCATTCAGGGTGCTGCAACTCAGCCATCAAATTCCTCTCATCACCAAAATGTGATGTGTGGACTTTTCCATAAGGTTCCCAGATGGAAAACTTTTTATAAGAGTGAAGCCAACAGGATTCTACGGGCATCTAACGGTGTACTACTGAGTATAGCAAAAATCTAGAGAAATGGCTTGTTATATGTTAATGGCAGTTGCTGAACCAACTTACGTACTTTAGTAGTTAAGTATATACTTCAAGCGAGAGATAAAAAGTCTATTTTTAAATCACCACAACTAAACGTTTAGTCCCTGTGTGTACCTTAATCTGGTGAGAATACAAGTTACGTGTACATCTACGTGTTCTGAATTACTTGTCTTTCATCAGCTGTTCCTAGAATAAGATGACATTTGTTCTCTGCTGCTAATCTAGCAGTAGCCTCATATTCTGCTTTTAATACTGCACAAATTCTCTGCCGCCGTAAGTAGTTCCATTATAGTTCCCTTGACTTTAATAATGCTTCCATCAGTTTACGCCAGCTGAGGATATGTCTTGTAGGCTTTCATATCTTAAGTTTGATCACAGCTCTGCGTTTACTTTGTCATAGAGATGGTAACCTGGAAATGTGTATATCAAGGAGATTTTGAACATAATTTTCCTTGCTGAGCAGAAATCCTCCAGGGGTTATCTTGTCAGAGCAATGCAATATAAAATAATCTGTAGGATATGTTGGACTCCCAGGTTGTACTGTAAGCAGTCTCTGTGTCAGGTACCACGGATAGGAGGTACTGGTTTGCTAAAGCTTGTAAGTAGATTTGAGAAGGTCTTGTTATCTGCTTGTGGGAAACAACACTTACAAGGATGCAGTGAGCTCTACAAATTGGAAGAGAGAGTTCACCTGGCCAGAACCCAACTGATGTGACAGAAAGCATTTGCAGAGAACAGAGCTCCTGCCACTGGTTTAGCCTAGGAAAGACGCGTGCAGTAGGAGGTCATGCTGTACTGGGAGCAGGGTGTTTGGAATGGCTGTTACCAACACAGCAAATACAACACAGGAGCGCTGGCAGCACACTTCTAGCAGTGTCCTTCCAACTCTAGACCACAGTGCAGCCCTCAGAGCAGGCTGACCAGTATGTACGTACCTCCTGAGCCCGGGACTGGCGTGATTATAGCGAGTGAGCCTCCGTAGCCGGCAACATGGAAATGGTATATTCTGTACGGTGAGTACCAAGCATCTCTCTGCTGTTGGCTTGACTGAAGGTAGTCACTAGTGCGAAGTTGGAATTTAAGCCTTTAAGGCCACCGGTGCCTTTGTCTCTACGTTAACATCTTTAAGGTTAGGCATTGCACTCCAAATACTACATATACCCCCTGGCTCAGTTTTCTGGGTTCCAGATGTTTCCAAAGGTACACATACTTTGTTTTTTCTCATTCATACTTTGCAAACAGAGGACTTGTTGCTCTTCGGTCTGCTTCATGGAGTAAAGCAAAGATGAGCTGCAGAACTTTGCTAAGGTCCTTGAATGTGGCCCTTTTTTGACTGGCGGAGAGTAAAGTGCGCATCTCCCAAGGTGTACGCTGGCAAGCTCAGAATGAGCTGTCACTCGTGGTGAATTGTGCAGATCTTTATAACATCATCTTCCTTCAACAGTCTTATGTGCTTTGATGTGTGGTGAAATAAGATTTTAAATGTCAGCACTGTTATCATTGGGTATCTGGGTGAGTCCCCGTTGAGATGAATGGGACTGAGTGGTGTTTCAGGTTTTGCAAATGCAGACAGACACCATGGCATCAGCTGCTGAAGTGTGAGAATGTTTTTTTCTCCTATTCCAGTGAGTCATAATAGCTGGAGACTTGTATTTAAAATGAACACATGGATTTTGGAGGGTAAGGAGCAATGGAAAAGAGGAAGCACTCTGCCATACTCTATTTGAGCCTTGCTGTAAAGTCAGTCAGGCGGGCTGTGGGGCATTTAGACCTCTCCCTACTGCAAACTGTAACAATTCTATTGTGAAAACAGTTATGCTAGAGAGATGTTTGTAGACTGACCAACAATTTAGTTTAGTCAGTCGATGGTTGCTCTTTTTTGCATGCATTATATCATGTCATGTACAACTTTTTAAGCTATGCTCTGGGAAATTCAAGAAGCCCCTTGTGCCTGAAACACTGGATTTGAGAGTTGCCAAAGAGCTTTTGCTATACCCGAGTCAGTTCTTGTGGGGGTTTCATTTCAGATATCTGATTTGTAGGAAGTACTGAGCAGCCTGCTTCTGTGTCAGATCCCTTTATTATCTCTGAATCCATGAAGCCATTTGGATATAATTTGGGCGTATTTCTGTGTAACACATAGATAATCCAGTAGCTCTTTTCTCAGTGGAAGCAGTATTGTGGTGAAGCTGTTTAAACTTCCTGGTGGATTCTCCATCTTGCCCTTCAGTTGAAAAGGCGCCGTTTACTCCTGCACATGTGGGGTGTTGGCTTTTAACAGGATTTCATGAGAGACAGATTTTTGTTTCAGTAGTGACCAAAATTAGTAGTAGGCAATTTTGTTGCAAGATGTACAGAAAATCTTTTGTGGTGAAAGACATAATATATACATTGATTCAAAAGGCTGAGTTCTTCTCTTTCAATTCAAAATTGTTGAGAAATTATTTGCTGCTGTTTATCTGTCAGAATGAAAATGTCCATGTCAATCCATTGGAAAAATGTTTGTTGAATAATAGCCAATTTCTTCTTCCTGAATTAGCATTTTGTATATTCCCATTAGCTATTTTTAGTGAACTATGTATACATACATGTTTAAATTCCTATATATTTTAAATTGCTTTTGCTCAGCTTGAGATATATAGCTTTACTGATTAGACTTGTAATCAAGAAAAGAAATGGCACACAATGATGTATAGGCTCTTGAGAGAATTGGCCTATAATTCTCAGGATTATTGGCAAAAACCCCACCCCTCACAAAAACCCCTCTTCCCAAATGGGATGTAGATTCTGTGGCAGTTGAAATGTGTATTATTAAACTCCTTAAGCAAACCAGAATGGCTCCCAGTGGAGCGCAAAGACATTCTAAGTATAGCCAAGACTAAATTCTCAGGTCTGGGTTTTCTCGACTCAATTCCCACTTGATTATCTCCTGTAATATTTAAACTTCATGCCATGCCATAATTATTTAATAAAAAGTAAATATAAAATGTATCTCAGTGGGGAATATGACCTTTTACCTTCATGTTGTTATACCAAAGGCAGACACAGATAAACAGAGAATCTGGATCAGTGTAATAGTCTGTCTCACTTGATAGTTTCATTCTTCTGCTGTCGAGGTGGTTATCCTGTAAGGTGCTGAGGAGATTTGGGAAGATTCAGTGAGTGCCATCAGCGTCTCTTGGAATCAAGTGTTTTCAGCTGTGCTGATGTCACTGGTTATTGAAAATATTTTTTTTTTCCAAAAGAACCACAAATAGTACAAGAGGATAGAAGCTAGCACTGAATGAGGATAGTGCTAAAGGACTTACATATGTTACTTATTAAATGTGTCATGGAATTCTTAGCAAGATTCTCAGCACGTGACTGCAGGCGTGTGTCGTTGGAATCATAATGCCCAGTTTGAAGTATAAGGAAATTCTGAAAAACCATACCTGTCGCTGTATTAGTAAAAACTGCTAACCCGAATGTATTAGAGGCAGTCCAAGCCTAGGCGCATGCAGAATGCTAAAGAACTGACTTTTGGTTTCTGTATTAATTTGGAGTTTAACTTTGAATAATCAGAAATTAATTATTGCCACGATTTCGTAGTAGAGAGTATTAAAGTGTCTGAAGTTTTATGAAATCATCAGCGATGCCAGTGGGGCTCTACCAGCTATTACTAACTGAGGATCTGGGTCAAAATATCTCGGCTTACCCACTAGAGATTAACATCATTACAGTGAAGTGGCTGTGTATGCATAACAGCCGTACACAAGTGAAGAAGTTAATGTGCCTAATGAATAGCTGTGCCCTAGTTTGTGACAGCAAAATGTTGGGGGAGTGTGTGTGTGTGTGTAATGTGTTTATTAGATGAGCAAATACAGTACTCTGGGTTTCTGACTGTATAACGAACATAGTAGAAGACCTATTCTAATTTGCATTTGTACCATAACTTGCTACATTACTGCCATGGTCAGTTTTGTCCTGCGTAAATATATTGGTCCTTAAAGGAGTATGTGGTGACAGTGCTTCCCTGCCGTATCTTTCAAATTATTCAGCCTTCGATAGATGGTGAGAAGGCAGCATTGGAAACTGGAGCAGTTTTAAGTGCAGAAGTCATCATGCTTTTTTTGTTCCCTTATTGAGTAAGCAAAACTCACTAGTGTAACCCTTTGGAACACTTTCAATTGGAAGTTTTGCAAATAGCATGCAGCATTCACATAAATTTTGTCATTTACTTCAACATATCTGAATCTGAATGCATTTTCTGGAATAGTGGCAGAAGATGAGCATGTACCTTCAGTCCAGCTGTGCCCCCAGAATGAGCAGACACAGGGTGTGTGCGCAGGCGTGTACATACGCCGGAATGCACAGAATTCCTTCAAGGCTTAGCTGTAAGCAGAAAGATATCACACTTCTTTATTTAACAAATTACAGACACACTAAGGAATTGTCCAGCAGCACCATGCAGTTCATTCTACAGATAACGGCAGAAACATCTGTACAATTAAATGGGTGGAGTTGGGGTACCAGAGTCAGGGGACCTGGTCTGTTCAACGCAGTCCAACATTAACGGCTTGTGTCTCCCAGCTTGCTCAGTTCTGGAGGAAGTATTACCTTTGAAAAGAGATTAGGGATCCTCACGCAGAAGTCCTTGTAAAGCTTAGCTTACTGTTCAACCTGTCTTATGCACAGTGATCAGGACTTGCCTGAGCAGCAGGCACTGTACACCTAGAAACCCGGGCAAGGAGAAGTTTTCTGTGGAGAAGCTGCAAAATCCAGCTTTCTTAGGTAATGAAACTTAGAGTCATGCAAATATATATGTACTCATATAATATGGTGGGGTTTTTCTGTTTTCTTTTCAGCTTTAAATGAACCTACCATAGATTACGGTTTCCAAAGACTGCAGAAGGTCATCCCAAGACATCCTGGTGACCCAGAAAGACTAGCTAAGGTAAAATATTTCTAAGCATTTCACTGAGCCCACTAAATATGTTCTTTCACTTCTACCTCATAAAAGAGACACAACTGTATGTTAAATGACAATTACATCTGAACATAAGTGCACCGATTAGCTGTAGGTCCAAAAGGGAAAGTGATTGTGTAGAACCCAGAGCTACCAGTAATCTTTATCTGTTAGAGCTCAAACTCTGTATGTGAACTTCTTCCAGTGCAGCTGTCTTCCCAGTTCCAATGGTCCTTTGCATTTATCCATATTAGCAAATCTCTGAACCTACATGATACGTGATAGACTTAAAGGATTTGTTGTAGAGGTCTAATCTTAAGGGAATCCTTTATTAAAAAAAACATTTAAAGCTCAGCTTTTTCTGTGGCAACAACTGCCATATGCATGTGTTGGAACAACTCAGGATTTTATGTATCTGTAATACTGCACGCTGTGTTGATGTGGCACCTACCGCAATGAGTGGCATTAATGACTATGTTCCTAGATTTGAGTGCAGTACCAGAAGTACATATCATCGTCTTTGCATGATGGTAGACCATTGTATTCACATACTATACTGTGTAATTTTTTTGTTATAACTGGAGGTAACATAAGATACCTACTAAGGGTTTTATTTGTTTGGATACCATTATTGGGAAAAAATAAACGGGCATGGAGATGCATCAGGTTTTTCTGTGTCTATGCAAAAGACTACATTGCCGTTGAGTGGGGAATGGCGCTCCCAGTCACACCGGGTCCGTCTGGTGGCGCGGGTGGGCGTGGCGCAGCTTCAGGACGCTGGAGAGCTCCTGGTGCTGCCGACCCCGCGGCTCTGGGGTCCGCTGCGAGGGGCTCTGCTTTCCAGAGCAGTGGCAAGTAACGGCGCTCCAAGGGGCCCCGGTTGCAGAATGACCACACGGACTCTGGTCGCTTCAGAAAACGCTAGGCCGTGGTTTGATTTGCCCTGAAATCCTTTTCTGTTGAAAATGTCAATTTGATGCGTCTGCTCCTCCGCCAGGAAATGCTGTTGAAACGAGCTGCTGACCTCGTTGAAGCACTGTATGGGACGCCACACAACAACCAGGTCAGAAGGACTGCTCTCTGCCGGGGAGTGGTACGCGTTCAGCCTTAGAAATAAACACTCGAAGACTTCTCCAAGCCTGTTTCTGTACTTGTCCCTTGCGTTCTGCAGGACATCATTCTGAAGCGAGCTGCAGACATCGCAGAAGCTCTCTACAGTGTGCCCAGAAATCCCGCGCAGATCCCTGCGCTGTCTAGCTCTCCTGCTCACAGCAGTATGATGGGGATCAACTCCTACGGTAGCCAGCTGGGAGTCAGCATTTCAGAGTCAACACAGGGGAACAACCAAGGTAAGCAGTGCAGGTAGTATAGTGTTAATTTAAACAACAAAAAATGGCATCACGGTTGCTTCCATAGTAGTTTCTCAAATTCCCTACCTGCTCAGCTTATGAACAGGGAGACAGCTTTAAGCTGTTAGCATTAGAAACGGATGCGTGCTGCCATTTTGGATGATACAATGTCTGCACCGGGTTCCACTCACCAGATGAGCAGTCGCTGAAATAATTTTTAGTTATTTTTGTTACCAACAACTTCACCTTGAATTCTCTCCCCACTGCCCTTGATATCTTTTTTTTTTGTTGTTGTTATATTTCTCTTCATAGAAGACAAGGACAGCAACTAAAAAAACCTCTCACGGTTAAAGAGGTGGGGCATTTATTCTTTTTTTAAGGCTTTTTCTTCAGTGTAAATTTTACCAACTTGCATATGTTGTATGTATTACATTTACTCAAGATACATTATTGATTATTAGGGAAACATGCCATAAAATAATGTATTAACAGTAATACATCATGAGAGCAATATCAGCGTTGGGCATTTTCTTACTCTTGAATATTTTTATTTTAGCACTCAATTCCAGTACTGTACAGTCTGCGGTTGGCTGCATGAATAGCTGTGTTTAACACAGTAAGGCAGTAAAACCATGTCATATGAACTTAATTTTACATATGCCATGTCAAAAGTCATCTTGTAGATAATTTTGCTAGTTTTTTTAATAAGGTCTTACCAGCCCTGAATTAGAACTTCACAATATAAATGGGCAGAAATAACCTGACTTGATATCTAAATGGTTACAACTTTTAAAGTAGCTATTGGATCACATCTTTCTAATGAAAGCTTTTCCATGGAAAAAAGCTTTTGCAGCTGCAATAAGGGCCTTGTATTTTAATGCTGATAGCTGTGGTATTTCCCCCAAGTAGAGAATTTTCAAAGTCAAACTGCAAACTATATATGGGTCATAATTTTGCCTTAGTAATGTGCTTGCTTTATTTGTAATTCATCAATAATTTGAAAAGTATAGCCTCCCCCCATAAAACTGTAGAAAATCTCACATACATTATAAATTCTACCTCAGAAAAAGATGAGCACACACATTTTTTTCCAGGTCTTAGAACAAATTTTAACTTTTAACAAATCAAAACTGATTAGAAAGATATACATCAGTTCACTTCAGAAAGTTACTTTCCCACGTTGTTTTAAAACTTACTGTTGTTTAACTTGAAAGCATGTGCGTAAACCCCACTGAATTTAATGGTACTTGCATAAATGTTTTAATTAATCTGGATTTAAATAAGTAATTTATTTAAGCAGGGAATATACAGGAGAAAGTTTTAAGCCAAATCCATTGACGTGGTTTCAAATGTACTTTTTGTAGGTTACATTCGTAATACGAGCAGCATCTCACCCCGAGGTTACTCCTCCAGTTCCACACCTCAGCAGTCCAATTACAGCACTTCCAGCAACAGCATGAACGGCTACAGCAACGTCCCCATGTCAAACCTGGGCGTTCCAGGCTCACCTGGATTCATTAACGGCTCCCCAACAGGATCCCCGTACGGACGTACGTGCTTGGCTTCTCTTCCATTTGAGTCTTGCTCCTGCTTAATGTAACGTAACCACATCAAAAAATGCGGCAAATGATGTCTTTCAAGAGAAGTTCTCAAGTTGTAGCAAAGATTTTTGTAAAAGGTTCTGATTTGTTTTTCTAGGAAACAAAATCAGTATTTTTTAGCATGAACTAGAATATGTTCCCATTATTCAAGAAGAATAGAGGAATATTGAATCCTATTTGTGTTTCCTTCATTTATTATCCTTATACAGGTTCCTAGGTGGCAAAGGCCACAGTGAGAAATGAGGTACAATTTGCAGCTTTAGATGACTAAGCAAGTAGCCATCGCGTTTAGCACAGAGGCTACTCGGAATTCTATGTAAAAGCCACTCTAAAAATCTTTATGTGCATGAACTGCATGAACAATAACTGAGAGCTGAATTGTGGATTAATTTCCTGTGAAACTGTATTGCATTGCGAATCAGAAATGTAACAATGATGGAAGTAAGTTCTGGAAGTTAGTAATATTGTGTTTCTAGTTACTAGCTGTACCATGAGCAAGGCACTCTTCCTTTCACGCCTTGATTTCCCTCTGGCAAGAGTGTGTGTGTGTAATAGATAGAGGAGGATGAACAGTTAAACAGCTATTTACTTATTGACTTATTTAACTGTTTACCCCCACTGTAGCTTATGGGGGTATAGGTCCTAATAACATCAGGATAATGCCTTTCCAGAAAACACACGGTATCCTGCAAAATATTATTTTATTTTATTTACATTGACATCATCTGCACAAGGACTGACTCACTTTGCAGTGATGATGAAGGCTCCTCGCTGGTCTGAAACCTGCTAAACAACATCCCGCAGTTTGAGCTGTAATGTCAGGCTAAGGCGCAACTCAAGGGATGTTTGGGTACTTTTGCTGCTTCCCCCCTCTGGAGCTTTGCCGTTGACTTCCATAAGGAAAGGACCTGGTCTGCAGCACATTGTCATTGTGATTTCAAACTAATAATTCCATGAGACTTGGGGATTCACTTGAACCCACATGAAATACGGTTATTTGTAGACCTTTTAAGCAGTTTTACCAAACTTCTATAATTGCATTTCTAATGAGGATTCGCTTTATTCTTTTGCAGTAATGTCTTCAAGTCCAACAGTTGGCTCTTCCAGCACTTCTTCCATCCTTCCATTCTCCTCTTCCGTCTTTCCTGCTGTCAAACAGAAGAGTGCCTTTGCTCCTGTCATCAGACCCCAAGGGTCTCCTTCTCCTGCCTGCTCTAGTGGCAATGGAAATGGGTTTAGAGGTAAGAAATGCACAACTGATATTCCGCCTGCGCATGTAAAGCACACTGTGTTAGGCTAGGTAAATACAGTAATCATCTGAATGCCATTACATTGATATTACAGGACTCGGTAGTGAAAATCTGACCCAGTCCAGCTGGATTAAAGCACTGCTCCAAGCTTTGTCTATTCGGTTTTAAAACAACAGGGACAGACACTCATTTCTACCAAGCAGGATTTGACCCGCGCTGCATTTCAGTACCAGCTCTTTTGTGAGCAATGACTTCTCCTTAGGCTTCAGGGACTTGTAAAACCAACGTCTGCCCTGCAGAGTTCGTACACAGCTCTGTACGTAACAGCCCATGTCTTGAAACCTGCTGCAAGGTTTAGGCTCATACCGGGAATTGAGCCCTATAGTACATTTACAGCCTTTTTAAAGGTGATCTGCAAAACAAATGTGAGTATTAAGATAAGAATGGAAACCTGTACTAAATTCTTTCTTTTAACAGGCTGTGGGGGGGCATGCGGCACATAAATACGCTCCAAGTCTCCATAAAAAAAGCCTTTATAGGGCCTGAGAAGTCATCTGGCTCCTTCAGACTTCACTAGAGATACCATAGAAAACGCAACTGTGGGAACTGAGCCATGCCAAGAGCCAGTGGTAATTCTAAAATGAGCTCCACAAACCGCACCTGTTGATTTGGGCACATTATAAATCCTTAGCTAGGCCACAGGGACTTACATAAACTGTGATTATTTTATATAATAAGGAAATTCTAAGTGTGCTGAACAAAAACAATTACATTTTTAAAAGCTAACTTACAGAATTCTGCTATGTGTCCAAGCCAGCTTCTTCCCTCACCCCAATTACATGAAACTCCATGCTTCTCTGCGATCATCTTATCCCCATTAATGACAGACATTGATCGACCCATGTACACACACAGGTGTGAACTTGACAGGGAATATAATCTATTTTCCACTCTGTTTAAAGAAGATGAAAAGAAGAATTTGAAGCAATTTTTTAAACAAAAGGTATAGAAAGTTTTGTGGGTCTGACAGTTGTAGCTATTTATCAAAACTGTTTAGAAGTGGGGTTATCTTTGTTAATGTTTTGTGTGACCATGGTGTCTAAAGACTCCTCATCACTACCTGGTCTGCAGTTCACCTTCTTCCTGCTTTTCTTTGTGGGGGGGGCGGGGGTTGTCCTTTGTATCAGCTAATGAAGGGATGTATAGATTTCACTACTTAGAAAAAACGAGAGGGTTTAGCTGTTTTAGGGAACCGTTCCAAGGTAACGTAATTTTAAACTGATTTAGTTAAACATTTAACTAGGGAGGCCTGTCAGCTTAAGAACAGTTTGCTTGTTTAGCTTAAGCCAGTTGGACAGTGCTATAATCTAAAGACAAATCAGTGCGTTCAAAATAGATTTAAATCTGCTTTAAAGTGAGACTTGTCTAACTGCTATGTTAAGAAGTTACCTAAGGTAGTGCTAACCACAAATCAGTTCAGTGAGAAAATCACTCGGATTGTTTCTGGAAGACAGGAAAAGGACAGAATAAAAAACCACTGACTTCTTATTGACATTCACACTTTTCCTTGAGTATTCCTTAAGACAGACAGTTTCCTGTCTGCTTAAGACCCTGCTTAGCAACAGTTTATCTCTTTTTTAACCCTTCTGTAAACAACTAAAGTACTAGAGACCATGTGGTGCCATTCACGTCATTTAGTGCTTACAACACATTTTATCCAATCTATAGTTTGTAATCAATAACAGATTCTAAAAATAGAACTTTACTATTAAGTATAAAATAGGTTATGATAAGTATAAATAAGGTTATGAATCCTTACTGAAATCGCTCACGCGCGCAAAGGTGCAGAGACTTGGGCCTGGATAAACCAATACAAAAGTTACCAACCATATCCCTTTCTCTGCAGGGTATCTGCTGGTACATCAACACCCTGATACACAAATATAGTTATATGCTACAACTGTTATATAAATAAGTTTTCAGGAGTTATGGTACCTAGTACCACAGGACTGGTCAGTCTGACTGCAACACCAAGCCACAACAGATGTGAGACACAGCAAGGGCAGCAGTTGCCTCGCAGTCGAACATGTCTGCCCAAGGTTTGTCACGCCAGCTCTCTGTAACTGTTTAACTGTTTCAGCCATAGATGCAAATTCTTCTTTCCAACTGAAATATTTAATTTGATGCAAAAGCTGGGGAGCACATGCATTGGAAAGGATCCAGATACGCACAGCCTGCTATCCAAATTAACGTTCCCACAGTGCTGACAGACAGCTGTGGCCAGAAAGTCAACAGGAGGGTCCCAAAGAGGCTCCTTGAATGGACTTACTGTACTGCAGCAATGGGAGACTGTTGGTCTCCTCCACTATGCCATCGCCCTGTGCTATAAAACTAAGAATAGATGTGCTGGTAATGTAATTTATTTATTTACTTATCAAACTTAGGCATCAGTAAATACTGATGGAGATAGAATAGCAAAAGCACAGCACAAGCACTAAGCATGTGCAGGCTCTTTCCCAAAGCACATCAGGCGAGTGTTTTGACATTACCTCTTAATTTCCCCACATGTAATGTGGAGAAAACATCTCCCCATGAGGGATTTTTTGAGCTTTAATGTAATGTTTGTGATGCACTTTGGCTGTACGTCTTTTGTTCAAAGGCAAAAGTTTCCTGGTGATACAGTCTCCACCCTACATACTGCGTCCTGTTACAAAGAGAATATCAGCGATACTGCCAGCACCTCAGGGCACGCCACTCTGCTTACAAGCAGCAGTGAAAATCTAGAATATAGCTTCCACGTACGTATGTTAACCACAGCAGTGTGTAAGCCTGGATTGAAACTAGTCTAAACAGGAGGAGCTGTACAAGCTTCACCCTTGGATTAGCATTCCCATGATTCCAGGCAGTTAACAGTACTGGTGAAAATTTTTTTCCAAAAATGTGTTTTGGGAGGAAAGTCTTGGAAACAGTAGGACAGATGGTAGAAAATATACTGTAACAGAAGTATCGGCTAAGCATGAAACTTGCCTGTCTCCTGGCTTTCAGCTCTGAGCTGCACAGCATGGCCAAGACGTGTGGGATACCCTCAGATAACCCCCCATGCCGTGTGTGCTTGCTTACCTCTTTCACCTGCCATCTGCTGTGCATTCTCACAGTGGAGCAGCGCACGATAGGTAGAGAACAAGCAGCAGTCCATACTGGACACTGCTCACTTCTATGTGCTCTCCAAATTGAGAGCAGGTGATGTTGATCAGAACAATTGTGTGCTCCGTTCATGTCATATGTCAAGGCAGTTTAAAAAAGGCACTGGGAAGATATAATGTGACGTGACGCAACGCGGCACGATAAGTACACAAATGCCTAATCAACTCACCTCAGATGTAAGGCAGCTGATGGGAAAAGCAAGCAAATTGGAAACTGCTGGAACAGCATGGACCGCTGACTGCCCAGATTACCTTTGGCCAGCTCAGCACATCTCAACATAAAAATGCAAGCTCAGTTACAAGGAATAGCAGGCAAGCCCCAGAAGGTCAGATGTTCCATTAACCGTCAGGATCCTAGCCAACCCAAAAGGTACTGAAGTCTGACACCCTAAGGAACAGCCCCAGTTTAGCAAAGGGGACTTCTGCACTATTCCCTAAAGAACTACAGGGATTGGAGTTAAAGACCCTAAGGATTTACATCTTGTCTTGACAAAGTTAGGGGTGTCAACAGGGCCGGGGATTCCGGTCCCCTGGCATTGCAAGGCTGTGCAAACAGGTGACGAGGAAAGGAGTGACTCTGAAGGGTTTGTAAGGGGTGGATTCAGACTGAGTGGCTGGCTCACACTTACAGAGCAAGGGTTCCTGGCTGTTACCGTGCGGTGCCTGACCGAAGCCTGGCTCCAGTCAACACTGAAACCACAGCATTCTGAAATAACTCCCAATGGAGATTCTAACCAGGTAAAAGTAACTGGCTAATTCCACGCTCGGAATGTGCAGCAGTATGCTTCTGCCGGAATCAGAATGATTCCAGAGCCCAGACAGTGATTTAAGTATGTTAAAGGCTGCAAATGATATCTACATGATGTCAATATGTACCAAAAAATATTTGTCTGTCATCTGATTAAATTGGATATATTGGAAGGATCAAGTACATTTTTCTTCCCAGTTTATTGGCAGAGATGTAAGCAGCCCAGACTGCTTCAAAATAAAGAAAACCTTAAGGAGATAATTAGAACTTCTTGCTAACACTGAACAAAAATATCTCCTGTTACTATTAATTACTTATCTTTCTTGGATGAGATGTTAATTTTAGTGGCACATCATATGTCACAGACTTATTCAGGCTAGACACGAGCTCCATTTTTAATGGGAGAAAACAAAAAAATCTGCCTTTTTTAATGGGAGAAAATATCCAAGACTGTTAGGTGCCATGCACAGAAAAGAGGATATTGGGTAAGATTCAGTACTGACTTCTCCTTTGCAGATGAAAACTTAGCCACTTTCTAGTATAACTGGAAAAATATAGAACTGCAGAATGGCTATATATTCCTGTGCTCTGTAATAATTAAACTAATGTATGTATAACTTTGCAAACACATATTTAGATTTTAAGGGTGTTCCTAATTGAACTAAATCAAAATAATTGTTCCAGCAGCCTTTTGTGCGTATACAGCTTAGCATGGTGAGACAGTAATGACATCGATGCAACTCAACAGATGAGGCAAAGCTAACTTCCCCCTCTCTTCGCTGTCAATGGTTTTGTCTAGAGTTTTTAAAAACATGTTACATAAAATATGGTTTAACCTGCTTATCACCTAAGAGAGACCAAGCCACTGCTTATTTGGAAATGTCTCACCTGTCCCGGGGTTAGACGATCATGCATGGCGGAATGAAAGTCTTCCATCCAAATACAGAAGGATTTCTGAAAAAAAAAAAGGTGTTCATTTCCTGTGGAGGAAAAAATAAAATGAAATTCTTTAGGAAAAACTGGAAGCTTCTGGCTGCTTCTTAGTGTCTTGTTTGGAACCACCCTTCACAGGTCTGCCACCGCAGCTGTGATTTAGTTCGCTTAATTTCTAGCATAAAGGATGGTGGTGCCCCTCAGCCAAGCCACTGATGTTCTCTGCTACATGAAAGCCAGCCGTGCTGTCCTCTGAACATCCTTTCTTCTCTCTGTCATTTTCAGTGGATTAGTTACATAGTAATAAAAGGTAGATGATAAATGGGTGTGTCGTTTTACAAATGTCTCCGTGGTCGTAATATTGAAAGTAAAACTGCTGATTTTGTAGTGGTAGCCATGCCGGGAGTCAGAGATACCAGCAAGGTGAGGCCTGCAGGTAGAAGCTGCACCTTTGATTAGACCAAAGGACAGAGAGGGTAGCTCTGCTCCCCACAGCTGGCTGGCTCACAATGTCCAAACCCACCTTTACTGCACAGAGAGGTTTCTGGCATTGCAGGGTAGGAGCCGCCATTGAAGGTGCTCCGAGTAGCACCACTGGAGCACCGCCTTCGCCTCTTCAAAGCGCTGCAGAGCCATAAGGTTGGAGTTTGCTGGAAAGGGAGTGGGAAAAAAGTAAAACCCAATGAGAGAGCAAGACATTTTACATGACAAGGACTGAAAATGCTCAACGCCCATCTTCACTAGCAAGCATAGTTTTTAAACGAGGCCATAATTTAGCTACCAACAAAGCACCTGTGATGTCTGAAGAACCAGATCGGTGTGTGCGCACACACGTGTGCATTGGCACAGCACTGAGCCCCTCTGGTCCTTACCAAATGGCTCTTTGAATTGCCGAGAGTTCTTTTCCACTGCAAAGCAAGACAGTGTTTTCAGGGGCCACTTGTATACACTGGGCTTATGATCATTATTAATTACACCCATTAAAGGTGCCTATCACCATAGCATCTGGGTAATATCCATGTTTGATTATTTATTTATAAAAAAATTCTCCAACCTTGTGACAATTTTAATCAAGTGTTTCAGTTGATAATTGCAAGCTGTCAAGGTTAATACAATAAGGCTCATCTCTAATTCTTTTTCCATTTCCCTCCAAGAAAAGAAAAAGACCCTCTGGGATAATGACTCTGGTTTCTATATTCCCAACTCATCAGGGAGTGTCCTGCATTGAACCACCTTTATTGAAAAGTTACATCGATTCAATATATAGTAATACAGGCAAAAATAATTACAGCTTTGCTAGCAGTGTAAGACCTTAATCCAAGCCTCACAAACATTCAATAAAAAGCGATACAGGCTGGGAATAGGCTTTTGACAGTGCAGCCCCAAAGGGGAGTGGAGGTGGGGTGGAAATGGACGGATGAGGGTGTGTAAAAAGAGAGAACCACCGAGCAAAGCCGTGTAGATGAGCTGCGGAAAAGCAGGTGAGAATGGCAGCCGGTAGTCCACAACCGACTTGTTCTTTGCTGCAGGAGGAGGTGAAGCTGCAACATGAGGAGGAAATGCCGGTGGAACCACTAGGCTTTGCTTTTCCTTTCTCTGTTATAGTGTAGTCTCACCTGACCTCGTCCACTGGCAGGTTCCATCCTAACAGCTTCGGTGGATCATCTCTGCTCTGGAGCTCTTACAGCCTGGAATGACAAAACCGAGGGCACAAGAGTGAGGAGAGGAAAGCAGGGAGTTACTACTTGCTCGGGAGGAAAGGAAAGGAGGCAAAAGAGGGATCACCAGAACCCCGGGGGCAATAACGTGCTCCTCCTGATTGCAGGTGGCAGTTTTGCTGCTGCCGTCACTAGTTTGACTCCAGGACTGCTAGACAACATACCTTTAATTACACAGTAAATACGTACTTTCCCTTCAGTTTAAGGAACTTTCCAAAATGCTGCATCTAGAAGTATTCTTCAAATATTTATGAAGAGACCTGGCAGAAACTCTGGCTTTGTCTTTGCTTCGATCTGTTGGAAGTAGTTTTCGTTGATTTTAAAAAAATGAAAATAATGTTGATAACAGTAGTATCAGAAAAAAGCCTTTATGCCAATGTGGCCTGTGCCCCTTGGGAACAGAGTGTAAACTACCCTGGCAGCAGACCCTGCAGGTCTCGAGTTAACCCACGCGAGCTGCACCAGGCTCTGCTGCCCCTGCACAGGCAGTCGGAGCTTCTGCAGAGTCAGGCTCTGGCTGTGCCAGCAGAAAAGGTTACTGCCCGTGCCCCCCCGCCAGGCACCGCCTGTGTGAGCGCTCCTTTATTTGCTTCAGGAAAAACACCCGGCCAGGTTACCCAAGACAAACAATTTAAGTTCTGTGAGCTAACCTGGGTGATTTTGCCTGAAGCGGACTAGGACGTGCTCACACAGACTGCTCCGCTGGGATACCTGTGGGATGGCGGCGAGCAGCTGGGGGCACGTGCTTACCTCTGCCGCCAGCTCGGCAGAATCCAGAGGAGGGCACCAAGCCAAGACTTAAATCAAGTTTTCTTTTCCAGAGGACAGAGAGGCAGGCATGTGGTTAACACCCGGGGAGAAGGCTCTCCAGTGGTCAGGCTGGGACACCGCCGTTAGCACCATGGTTTGGGGATGAGGAGAAGGAAAGAAGCAGCATCCCCCCCTTAGTGTTACCAGAAAATGTCTCTTCTTCTAATGGGTCATAACTCCCCCACTCCCCAAAAAGAATCAGCATACAAATATGTACCTAATTTAGTTAGGGTTATGTAAATTGCCTGTTTGAAAATCTGATTAGAAAATAACAGCAAATTCCTAAGCAATTAAAAAAAGTAGATATTTGACTTAAGACTGTTTGCTTTCACTTTCTCTTTCAGCTATTTCCCAAAATTGGCAGGGACTTCAAGCCCTAGTCAGTTATGAAATACGAAAATATTTATTTTCCTATTGTATTAAATCATAGACCATATCCGCAGTTGTTTAAAATCAACACAGCTCCAATAAAAGAGTCATGTTAGCTGAGGATCTCGCCCTAAGCATTTTTTTAAACACTATGAACGTAAGGGTGAAATTAATTCTCAGAGGACGGGACTTTAAACACATGAATAATCCCACAAATTTCAGTGAACATAAATCTTTGCAGGATTAGGACCCTGCGCTGCACTCGGGCCCCTTTGAAAATATGACTCACTCATTTGTTATATAAATACGTATAAACTTAACTTACCCCCTCAAAACCTCTGGGAACAGCACCAGTTCCAGGCAGCTTCAGACGTTACTGTTGTCAGTTATGAAGAATATAGCTGCAATTAAAGCCAGGGAGAATGACTAATAAATAATTTACATAAGACCAGTGTTCTGGGAATGTGCCAGGTAAGACTACAGTGATTCAGCCATATGGGGTAAACCAAGCGAGAAAGAGAGGCTGGTCCATTATTTCCACTGAAACTAAATTAGCAAGGCCTAGCTCTGGTCATTGTCCAGCTGATCGGGACGTGTAATTCTGTGGCTCGGTCCCGTAAGCGGTGCAGGGGCGAATCCCCGTGTGCTCGCCCACCTTCCCTCACTCACGACATAGCCCCTTCTGCAAGCAAAGGAGCAGGCTGAGTGGGAACGGGAAGACCCTGCTCAATTCTGTTTCTCAAAAATTATTTTGAGGGTTCAGCTTGAGAAAGCATGAGAAGCCTGAATTTCTGGGGAGAGTTCTGAGCAGTGTCCATCTCCAAGGACATCCCTTGGGAGATAAGCACCCAAAAATGGCTGGGCGTTTCTGAAAATTCACATACTGAGATCTGAAGTAATCCTCAGTCTTCTTTATCCATTTAAGAACCACAGTGGGCCTTGGCTTTTGGTGAATTTACTGTGAATCAGCACACTGTCCGCTCTCTGTGGTCGTTGTCAGCCTCACCAAAGCACCCAGATGTTAAAAGAAACGGAAGGGCTGGTTGAACCTGCCCGTGAGGCCATCGCTGCAATACGAGTGCACACAGAAGGGTGAAGGGCTCTAATATATTTTGTTCCATTAAAATTTGCCACAATTTCATCTTTGTCAATTTTCTTTTTCAGCCATGACTGGTCTTGTCGTTCCCCCGATGTAAGGAAGAGGCAGCTTTGCTCCTCTCTCCCTCTTCCCTTTTTTCCTCTTTTTTTCATTTTTCTTTTACAGCACAAAACTACTTATTGTGATGGACCACTAAAAAGAAAAAAATAGCACTACAAGCTCTTTTTTGGGGGAAAGCCAGGCCCAGGAAAAAAAAAGGAACATTTTTTATGGATTGGACAAGATGGAAGTCTGCATCTTTTACCTGTTTCGTATTTCTGACACAACCACATCAACTCCTAAAACATTGTGAATGAAGAATCAGCCAGGAGCCAGCAGGAACAGCGGTTGGCAGAGCGGAATCCGAAATGCAAAGTCTTTCTTGAAAGACAGGAAACCTTCCTAAGATTTGTAAAATATTAAAAGGAGAAAGAAATTGGCAAAATGATTCAGGCTTGATATTTTGGATACAATTTCTTTTACTTTGTAGGGGAAAAAAGTTGAAGTTTCTATTTTCTATCAGATATCAATTTAGTTTATGCAGAAAAAACATTCAACAAAACAGGGTACCAGCATGAAAGAATTTCTAGGACAAACTGACATGAATGATGGAACTTTGGTGTATGTGTGTATTTGCTTATAGTTTAACCTCTTTAAAAAATGTAAGATGTTTTACAATTATTTAAATAAATAAACTTGTAACTTATTGTATGTAGAGGTAGAGATTAAACCCTTTTTTGGATTTTTTCCTCCAGTTGTACAATGAAGAAAAATGATGCAAAAATGTAGTGATAAGTTTGAGGTATATTATTACTGCTGCAATTGCTCCTCACCTCTTCCCTCTCACTGAGTTCACGTGCAAGGATGTATAGGATTCTTTCTGATTAACAAAACCTTCAGAAACTTTGGCGTACATTGTGGTGTCCAGGTCAGTAACTCACGTATGCATGTTCATCCTCCTCATCTTTCCCCTTCCATTTTTTTGTTTCCATTAAAATATTTGGGTACTAAGATTACCTGGAAAGTCTCAAAGACCCTGCTGGCGAAGGCGCGGCTCGTGGGGACTTGAACGGATCAGATTTTTTATGAGGTACTGAGTGTGTTTTATAGATGCAATGTATGAATTAGGAGAGAAAGGGTTCTCTAACATATTGTTTCTCCATGTAGTTAGAACACCTTAAGTTCAGTTATACTTCATATTAAGGGTGCATTTATAAAGGGTAAATATGTATTTGAATAATTTATGCACTTTTATTCTGAGTCATTAAAAATGGTAAGTATTTTCCATTTATATATTGACGTTCATAGAAGTAATCAATTGCTTTGAATTCTTCTGCATTTTAGTGTAAACAAAGTTTAGTTCTCCTTTGCATCTCCTCTCCTGAAATTGGAAGGCGAGAACAAGTCTAATAAAAAGAAAATCACTAGTTATCTGACTAAACCAGAGACCACTCACAAGAATTTGATTGTTGGAAAGCCAATTTTAGAGAAAAAAAACAAGCGACACTACTTACACCCCACTAAAACACACACGATTCCTAGCTGCGTGAACAGCTGTTCCTACGCCAGCATCTTTGTGCTAATAAATAAACCCTTCATGTACGGCCCCTGAAACTGTGCTTGTCCGTCTGCCCAGTAGTTTTATCCACGGGTAAGTGAAGTCCTGTTCTTGGCGATCCTTGTGTAGGGCAGAAGTACGGCTCAGTGCTGGGTGCTTGCATGGCTGTGGCGGTCTGGAGCTGGTCTGGGTTAGTAATGGGCTGGAAAGCCTCTGGATCCGTGCTCCAGGTCCAGCTGCAACGGTTGGCGACCGAGGGGCTCGCTGGTGGGTGGGGTGTGCGACCTGACAGACCCTCGACTAACGGACAGGTTTTGGCACAGGGCTGCATCTTGCAAACCCGTAAAATCGCTCCTTGCAGCGCAGGGCGGGGGAGCTGACTGCCTGGGACCCTGCCGCTGGCGCGGGCGGCATCGGGGGTGTCCCTGGAGCTCTGTTTTCGTAGTGTAGTGTACAGCTCAGCTCACGAGAGAAATGTGTTCAACGCACAGCAAGATTTACAGGACGCGTTTCTTACCGGAAGGCAGCGCAGCACAAAGGCAATGAATTGGGCTGCTCCGGTCGCTCCCGAGGATGAGAAGCTTGTGGGAAGCAGCTTTGCACTACTCCTGACTACGCACGCCGTGAGGTGTCGGTAGGGGCTTCCCTAGGTGCTGTTTCAGTGCTATTGAATTCAGTTTGTAAAAGGTGGAAGGGGCTTACTGTGCTCTAAAACTCAAGGCCCAATTTATCCTATCAGCAAAAATGGCAATTAGAAGCAACGTCAAGGGGAGATGTGGTGGGAATAATGTGTTTCTAAGAAGCACGAGTATGGTTAGTCAGGGTCTTACAAGTCAGGCTACTGGAAGCACCTACATTCCAGAAAAGATGAAATAAAATAACTCACCATTAATCATGGTTGCAAGTTCGTTGACACCACGGGTTCTTTGCATGCCCTTCGTGCCACCAAGGAAGTAGCAAGCGGTGGAGCTCAGGAGGCACCTGACCTTGAAGTGATCTCTGAAACAGGAAAGAACCACAAGTGTTAAGGAGCTGTGACAGCGTCCTGCCGTACGGTCACCTCTGATACACGACCGGGCACGCTGTCTGACCTCATCACTGTTATTCAGAACAAAAAAACCACAACAAAAACCTATTTAATACATTTAGAGGTACCGATACCCCAGCAAGGCTGAGAGTGGGCGGTCCAAAGTCACGTTTGGAATTCTGCATGTATACAGGGACAAAAATAGACCGAGGATTATTAGAGTTGGGATAAAATGTCCATAAATTTCTGTGAATACTGCACTAAGTCCTAGATGTCAAAAAATATCTTGATGGACCAGGCTCATTTCTGACACATCAATCCCCTCCCCCCCCCCATTTTGACCTACTAACAAACCACAAACAGCTCCAAAGCATGAAGAGGTTGGGTTTTTCCTCTTGCCCTTCTCTGTACAGGCTGCTTTTAAAATGTTATCATCTCTGCTCAGACTCAAAATTCTATGCCCAGCAAATATTCTGGATGGACAGGAATTTCTAGACCACATGCTGAAGAGCAGCAGCTTGCTACCTTAAATCCTCTCACAGTTTTTAACAAATAAGATTTTCATTACAAAATCTCAGTCAGAAAAGTTTCCAATTCAAAACATTGAGACATTTCATGGAAAAGCTCTTCTGTTAATTGTCCACCCTTCTTTGTTCTTGTTGCTTAGTCAGCACAGGCACATAGAGAAGATCACTGAACTCTTGGGAAGATTCAGGGGAAAAAATGACAGGCTAAAAAACCCAGTTCTGAAATGCTCAACATTCCTTTGACATTTCAGTTATGTTTATTAGCTCCGTCCAGTTGCTCAAGCCAGGAGTCCAAATGAAAAGAAAATGGCCCTAGAAAGTTACTTCAAGTACTGATAGAAACAAGTGTCGCTGCCTGTGTTGATGTAAACATGGAAAATGACTTTTCCTGGTTTGATCTGAGCCAAACAAATGAAAAAAATTAAACATAGGAATGAGTTAGAACATGGATTGTGCTCATGCATGGAAATGAGCGTACTCGGGAGGAGCGCAAAATGTACTGGTAGCTTTACAAAGCAAACTGTGTGTAAATAAATGCAATCAGAGATCCTTGACCATGAAAGAAAGACTTTGGCAGCGGCAAAGCACCCAACAAAAAGGAAAAGTAATGTAAGCGTTCATGTGTAAGGATTTTTTCAAAGTAAGAAGCAAATCTGTCCTCTTTTAGTTATTGTTGTTTACTATTTCCTAACAGTTTTCCTTTTTGCCACTAGAAAGATGAGAGTGTTGCGATAAGTAACTACAAAATTTTATCCTGACTTTGACAGAGTCCGGTTTATTTCATTATTTATCTCGGTATAGCATCTTACTCTCCCTGTTTCTTTGCACACTTCCCATATGCATGGTTTTTAAAGACCGTTTTCTCCCTTCTGTAAATTAAGGCCTCATTTCTCCCTACTGTATAGTTTTGGGGTTTGGTTGGGGTTGGCTGGTCGGTTTTTTGTTTTTTGCTTTGTCAGTTATATACAGTATGAAGTTGCTATGCACAGAGCTTTTGTAAAGATAGCTTTTTTTTGTTTACTGTTTTTAATGGTCCTACTTATGGAAGAATATCTTGTTTGTAAAATGAATATGTCTACTTCAGTTTTAAACTTTAAATTATCCTAACAAAAAATAAAATTTTTGTACTGTAAACAAGGGAGGGAATTATCTTAATTTCAGAGTATTCAGTTTATTCTTTATCATCTTTACGGGTCACCCATGGTACTGCTACAGCAATAACACTTTACAAAAGGTCAGTGATACGCTCTGCGACCGCTGTTCAAACCCAGCCTTCACGCTTGTCAGCAAGACGCCCATCCACAGCTTGGGAGAGCGGCTCTGGGTGCTGCCGGCCACAGAGTGAGGTGGCACCGGTCTGTTCTGACCATTCCTTCGTTAGAGCTGGGTAACCACGCAGCCACCGCCTGTGTGAGGATTCAGTTCCTTTGGGGGGGGAGGAGCCGACGGGTAGGACAGCTCCGAGTCCTTTCTGGGACGCTTCCCTCCCTGTTAGCAGTGCACGGGTGGTCGAAGCACCACAGCAGCCCCCAGAGCTGGCACTGACTGGCCCTGGCCTTAGCCTGGACTCCAACTGCCCAGCTGAATTCGGGTTCGCTCCCTGGTCCTGCCCCAGGCACTGTCTTTGCGCACAACGCGGAGCAGACAACGACGCTCAGAGGGGAGTCACATCGGCTCCTGCGACAAAGCGTCTGGCGTATACCTGCTCCCTCCTGCAGCAGCGCGCGTGATTTAATCGCGGGGACGTACCAGTACGGCTCTCTGCAAGGTGGGGAATTTCTGTTCTCTTTGTAAAGGCATTGATCAAAAAGGTAAATTAGCTTTATTTTATCAAAAAACCCCCCACAAAACTGAAAAGTGTCTTGGAAAATGGTAACGGACTACTTACACCAGGAATATTCCCTTTTCTTGTCTGAAAAGTCACTGGAAAGGTTCAAACAAAAATTTTCTTTGATGATGAAAGCCACTTTTATTGGCATTTTTTGACTAACGGAAGACAGAATATGAGTCAGTGTTTAAACTACTGCCCCTTGTCAGTGAAAGCATCTGAGAACATTAGGCGCTATCAACCAAAAGCTGAGGAGAAAATGGGTCTTTTTGGTAATCTGCCTCAGTTACTCGTTCAGGGACAACACTCAGCGGACGGTGACCTTCCTCCCAACAGGGCACCCTCAGCCGTCCGCTGCCCCAGCGAAGCAGCCCTCGTCTGGCCTGGAACAGGGGCCCATTCTGCTAAATATCTGATTTGGCTTCTCCCCCCCTAAGAAGTCCCAGCAGTGTATCAAGTGGTGATTTTAGTGATAAAACTGATACTTTGAAAGAGATTCTCAGTCTTTAACAGTGACCGACTGTTACAGTCAAGTGAGGCAGTTTGTTGTGCCTGGAGGCTTGCTGTGCCCCACTGCTGCTGTGCTACCTCTTGGGAGGCCCGAGGATG